AACGCATTTTTGAAAATATTTGTCTGCTTGGGTATCAGCCGGTTAGATGGACGTGTCAAAAGAAAGGTTCTGAAGAGACATTTATAAATATTAGATTCAGAATAAAGAGAAATATCATCAACATCTCATTGAAATAATTTTAATTTTGAAAATATTGAGATAGAAAAATATATCCTCTTTTGAAGGATGCATCTAAAGAAAAATATAACTCTTGGCGTTTCTTGATTTTCCAGCTGGAACACTCAAGCACTCTTGATGGTATAGAACATTAGTATTTTAACCTTTGTCGATGAATTAACATCACCAGTGTCTTTATTCGAGTACCACACCCTCGATAAATAATGGAGCACACAGAGAAATACATCAATCGTTCAATTTTATTTATCAACAATAGCCTAAGCACATATCTGATATTAGATTTCATTTTGATGGAATAGTGCTACTATTCGGTATACCGTGTTTATGGAACTATAAGTTTTAAAACACGAGGAGATTGAATGAACACTATTTTTATAAGAAAAGTCGGATAATAGCAGGATTGCACTTATTCGTGTATTGTTGTCCTATAAAACAATCATAAAATCCTAATCATTTCAATCTTAACTCTAGGATTCACATGGGATTTTTGGGATTTTCATGAGATTTTTGGGATTTTTATGAGATTTTTGAGATTATGTGGGATTTTGGGGATTCTCATAAGATTTTTGGGATTTCTCGGATTTTTATTGGGATTCAAAAGTCTGAAAATCCGCCTTTTCCCCCTTGATTTTTCTGGTATAAGCAAATTTTAGATTATTGTCACCCTTTTGACGACAAAAATATAGTTACATTTTTCTGAATGAAAATATCGAATAGATCATCTCAATCTGCAGATGTAAAAACTTATATTTTTAAAAATATTGTCAATAGTATTACTGGATAAGAAAACTGACGTCAGTAAGAATCACTCTTATTGTTGCTTGTCTTATGTTATGATTGATATTGAGCGTAAAGTCAAGTAAGTTCTCAAACTGGATTCATTTCCAACAAGTAAAAAGCTGCTCGGAGAAAAATCATTATTGAATTTAGTATGCAATTAGACACGGTGTGAGTGTTAATGAATGAAGAGAACATTCACAGTCATACCTGAGTTCCGAACTTGTTTTCTCATGAACGATAGCACCAGAAAATTTGAAAAAAGTCATAGAAGAAAAGGGCACAAAATTCTCTAAGCACATGAGCGAAGACTTGCACATATTGTTGAACAATCATCAGGACAACCAATTGAAACAGTGTTTTAGAATAGAAAATTCTCTATCGAATAGTTTTTTTCGAAGTATGTCTGAATGATTCGAAAAACAAAGAGAAAATGATATGATCTCATTTAATCAATACTAACAATTTGCATTGAATATATTTTATTTCCTTAACATATTTCATTTTCATTGTCTAGATGTTCTTTCTCTTTTTGTTTCAATTTATCTTGTAGATTTCGTTCATTAAAAATTTTTGATATACCAATTAAAACGACACTACTAATTATAAGTGCTGAACCAAGTAATGTATATAAATTTGATCGTACTGATGAAAAAATATATTGAAACATTAATGCAAAAAAAATATCAGCTGAACCAAGTAGTGAAAAAACAGTTGGATGTTCACGTTTAATAGCCTTTTGTATTAATATATTTGAAATAATTATAACAAAACAAACGATTGATGATGCTATATATCGCCATGATATAAAATAATTAAATGAAGTTATTATTTTAAGATGAAATATTTTATAGAATTGATTGAGAATAAGAAACATAGAAATAGAAAATGAAAATTGAAAATTTAATACACTTGCTTTAATATTTTTTGATGTTGAAATAATTTGTTTATAAATTAAAACATTCAATGCTGCTGTTAAAGCACAAATAATAGATATAATATAACCAATTATACGAAATTTATAATTAATATTATTCATTGATGAATTTATTGATGAAAAAAGAAAAGTTGGTTGAGTTACAAAAATAACACCAAGAAAAGTTAATGGTAAAGCTATTAATATACCTATTGATGGTCGTTCACGATAAACAATAATACTCAGAATAACTGTCCAAACTACTCGAGTATAAAATAATGTATTAACATCAGATAATTCAATATAACGCATAGCAAGAAAAAGTAGAAAAGATCCTGCTGAACCCATAATAGCACAAATAATCTGTAAGAATATTTCTCGTATTGTACCAGAAAGTAATGAATAATGTTTATATAAAGCAAATGAAAATGTTAGTATTGTTTGAAGTATAAAACGTAATAATAATGCATCAAGTAAGTCAATACCTAATTGTTTTATAGTAAATGTTGAAGCAATAAATAGAAATGATGCAATTAATGAATAACAAATACCAGAAAAACGATTTATTAATTTCATTTCATTTGCTAAATTTTCTTTACTTATTGATGGTATAAGAAGAAGTGGATCAGCTGGAGTTATTGTTAATTCAGATTCGTCTATAGTATTTTGATTTTGTGACATGATTTGAAAAAATTTCTAATCGAAAAGAAAAATTTCATCTATTATATTTCATATTCTATTAATCATTATCAAACAAAATGAAATCATTTTTTTTCTTTGTCATGATATAGATTAAAGAAAAATTAAGATTAATAAAAAGTATCAACAAAAACATGAGTAATTTATGAAAGTCATCAAATTGAATATTTATAATTTCGGAAAATTTTTTTTTACGAATGAAAATAAATCAAATGATAGTTATATGAGAATAAAAATAGTTTTAAATATCATTCAAAGGATTATTTGAAGAAAAAATATATATATATTTGATTGATTTAGAAAAGAAATACGATATTCTATGATCAAAATGTGTAATATGTCTGATTTCTCTTTATTTAGTCATATCGAATGATATATTTCGAAATAAAATATTAATCTAAAGTATACGAGAGAAAAAAATCGTATTGTGTATACTGTTCGTTTTTAAATTTTATGAACTTTCTATTTTTCACCGAGTATTAATCTTAATATAGATGAATAATTTCTATTCTATATAGACATATTTGTTGATAAATACAATTTAAAACTTATCTACTTAGTTTGTTTACTTATTTTTTTATGATATGTTAAAACATTGATAAAATTCAATATAAATAGAAAGGTTCAACATTGCATAGTAATTATTAAAGTCTACAACAATAAATTGATTTCTATCAGCTTTTTCTTCCTTATCATTGACCATTGATAACTAATATTGTTTTTCTTTTTTGGTATTTTGATCCTTAAATTTTGCTTTCTATTCACTTTCTTATAGTTTTTGTTCGAGCGTCCTAAATAGTTTCAAATAGATGAACAACAATTGACACAATTTTCTCTAATAAATATTCTCATAAGTGTTGACTAGATCAAATAAGAAAAAATTATTCTATCCTAATGATATTTTTCAATATGTAAATGTTTAAAAATATATTCATTCAATTAAAGTTATTTTCTGCTTTTGTTGATATAATCTTCAGCAGCATGTTGTAACTTCTTTGAACTGAAGCAGACTGAAAAAATATTCCGTTGTGTATTACTAAATGTTGGACTCTATATTACCTATGACTTGAAATAGTACTATTTCTTCACTTATAGTAGCTAAGCTTACACACGTAAGAAACATTTACAACAAAGTGAACAAACCTACAATTGAATTCCTTGTTTTTTGTTTTTATGAACATGGCTGTTGCAGCATTATTATATTTCCCAAGCAAAACAGATCGAAAACTCTTCATTCGACAAAACATTTTTTTTTGATTTTTTTCTGAAATTCCCCAGCTTTATACTCTCTATTATTTACTTTTTGGTGAGGATTTTATAAAGCCTGCTGAGTCTAGTCTAGATTTAAAACGTTCCGCCGTCTATGTCTGTGATAATAAGTCAATTGAAATCAGAAATAGTTGTTCGAATTTCTTCTCAAGAGATTTTATGTCTCTCATATGATTATTCATGAAGAAAAAATCTATTGAAGTTTGTTTTCTAACATATATTATCAGATATTTTGTAATAGTTATGATGAATATTGATTATTTATTTATTTAAATACTTTTATAAAATATCGATAATTGATTCTTCTATAAACACAATCACGTGTGTTTCAATTGCGTTCACATTATGACGGACCTCGATATATCTAATTTTTTTTTTGTTTTCTTCGTTTCTTATTCTATTGAATGATGATATCTATCATAACTATTTTTATTCTGTACTTCGATTAGTACATGTGATATAATTTATTAACTTACAACTCGATGTATGAAAGTAAGTGATTATTTATTTCGTTTTTTATTTTTAATATATATATCATTAAATAGATAGTGATATTCCGACAATATCATCATCATCTCGAATTATTTATCCATATGAAACAATTGTTTTATCATCACCTATACGATCATTATATGAAAATAATAATAATACTCAACAATCTGCTTTTATATCCTATGAATCGAATTTATCTTCTTCTTCTTCTACAAAAGAAATTTCAATAACTAGATCATTTACACCTCCATTTCAGAAGAAATTACCGATTATATTTGTAATTATCTTAGGTTTATTTGAAATATTTGGTGGTTTAATTGTTCTTATATTTGAAATATTAATTTTTGATATTGCTATTGGTCTTTGGTGTGGATTTATTTATGCACTTGCTGGAGTAGCTGCTATTGTACTTGGTTTGTAAAATAATAATAATAATAATTACATAAAAGTTTAAACGTATTATTTTTTTTTTTTTTTATTTCTATATCATTAGTGATTAGTACTGATCGCGAACGTCATCATACATCAACTGTATTGATTATACAATTTGTTGGTAAAAATTAAAAAAGAATATTTTATTTTTTTTATTAATTTATTGATTAAAATTATTTAATTATCATTTTAGCTTTTATGTTTACGATTACGGAAATTTTATTACATATTAATTTTTATCTAAAACGATGTGTAACAAAATTTAATGAACCATCACGTGAAACATCATATCAATGTTTAATTCTTCTTATTCAAATAGGTGGAGCTGCTATTGTTCTTATTAGTACAATTATTTTTGCGATAATATATATTCGAATAACAATTATGGTACTTAAACAACCACATGGAACTTTTAATATAACGAATGCAATGAATATAACTTGTTAATACGTTTTTGTTTTATGTATTCATATATATATGTGTGTTTATAAGAATTATCTAATTAAGAAAGAAAGAATACGTTATATTTTGTAGAATTATCTTGTTTGTTTTTTTCTTTTTCTTTTATACAATTAAAATTCAGAACAACATAGAGTAATTGTTTTTATTCTAAAATGAATTTTTCAAAGAATATGATAGACCTTATTTAGAGTTATCTTAAAATATTGGATCAATCTTCAGTTATTTATTCGAAGCAAACAAGTGAATGTAAATATTCAATGATTAGCTTAAATAACTGAGACTTCAGATTCCTTTTTTTAGAGTTTCTTTACAATGAAAAAGAGAATTGCATGATATTAAAAATAAGATTTTAACAGTTCTAGAATATATTATTCTTCTTCGAAATTTGTTCAGTTAAAATGTAATTATGATTGTTCTAGATCAGAGATGAAGTATGTACCACTAAAACAAAAGATTTTCTTCTGCTATCAAAATAAAGGAAAAGCTAGATTCTTTTTTTTGTTTCATTTACTTTATTAAATATTAATCAATAAAAGTAATTTTCATTCCAATAAATAATGGATTACGTAAGAAGAAGCTGTTTCAATACTTTCTTATCAATAAATAAATCAATTTTTCTATTTCTCTGAACACGCTTTGCCGCACATAGGTAGATTCTATACATCTACTTCTAAATAGTACAGTTTCTGCTATTTGCACAGATCAAAATTTATGTTCAATATGTCAGACATGATAAGTAGTAATGCATTGATTTGTCATAGTCATCATATAATATAATAATATGTTAAAATATGTTGTAGATATAATGGATTACTCGTGTCATATTCTACTTTTAAAATATTTTAAATAATATTTCAATCATTCAGTTTACTCGTAAATCATGTATGATTTTAACGTATTCCGAAAGTTTCATAACGCTTTACCAATGATATCTTCTCTGTTTATCTCTCGATAGATTCTGAAATCAAAGTATGCTCTAATTTTTGGTGTTTATGTATGATGAATCTTTAAAAATTTCTTTTAGGTAAGGATTACCTATTTGAGTATATTTAAATCAATTACTAAAATTTTCTTCATTATCAACGAATCCTGTTGAAAACATTAATTATGAAATGTACGAATTCGAAAGTCGATGATGAAAGAGATCTGGAAAGAAGTCTGATATTTTTGTTAAAAACTTCATTAGAATAGAAAAATTTATAAACACAAATTATCGAGAATTTTGTCTATTCTCAATAAAGCGTATCTGATCAGATAAGATTCAATTTAAATACAATGTATTAACTGAAGAAATTTCGCTTTGTTAATGCTTATATTTGATTTCTTAGTTATGTCCTATAAAAATTATCTTGATCAATTGTTGAAAAACATTCGAAAAGTTATTCTTATAAATTTAGCATATAAAAGCTATTTTATAACAATTAAATGTTCAATTCTTTTTCTACAAAAAACAATAATGTTAACAAAAAAATAAAAATATTGTATTATTTCTCACAAAATAAAACTAATATCCATAAAAACATAATACCCAATATTACTTTTAGTATCCTATTCATATTAAAATTATGTCTTCTATATTGTTCTATAGATTGTTGCTTTGTTAAATCATCAATTAATTTTAATAATAATTCATTTTGTTTAAGTGTTTCATCAACAAATAGTTGTAGAAATTTTTTATAATCTTCATCATTTGATTGTTCATTATTTAATAATATTTTTGTTTTTTCATTAAATAATTCTTGACGAATTTTACCTATAAGTTCAGATAATTCATTTCGATTTAATTCATTTAAATGATATTTTGTTTTATTTATTTTTTTTTTATATTCATAAATAATCGAATCAAATCTATATGAATTTATATTATCAGTTATTGTTGAAGTTGATATTGATGCTGCTATCATTGGATTTATTATAATTGAATTAGGAGCAGGAGTACGACCTATGTAAATTTATCAAAATGAAATTTAATTAAATTTCCGAAAAAAAAAAAACAAAAACAAATTTACGAGGTTCTAAAGATAATTCTTTTTCAATATAAGTAATCTGACGAATTAATTGTTTAAATGATTGATCAAAATCATCCGATGAAGAAAAATCAATATGAAAATTTGAACCTTTATATATTATTCTTATATTTCATTTGAATAGATTGAAAAAAATATTAACATTTAAATAATCTATGATTACTATAATATATGAATAAATCAATAATAATACCTAACCAACTTTGAGGATGAAATGATTTTTCCATTAAACATGGAATAAATTTAATTCGATTTTCAGCAGCATATACAGCTTCTAGAAATTATAAAAATTTAAAATTCAAATATATAAATTTATATTCAATTACCTAATCGACAATAATCACTTTCATAATATTGTTGATTAATACAAAGAAGAATAATATATGAATTTTCAATTGCTTGTGCCATTGCAACAAGTATATCATCAAACATATGTTCAAGATCTATCCATACTTTATAATTTTTTTCCTATAATTAACACCAATAGAATTTATTCAAATATTTAATACACCAATATACATATATATATTTACTACAAGTCGATGATAAATTTTACGACAAGTTTTTATTGATGAACGATCATAGCTTATCATAATATGTCGTTTTCGTTGACTAGTATTTTTAATTATTGAAATATTTTGACATGGATCTTCAATATAGCAAAAATTTCACAATAGAAAGTTTTCAATTGATCAATCGTATATATATACTAATGTCGGCACCAGAAATAGATGGAGAAAACTCTAGAACGAATATCTCAAGAACAGTAGCAATTAGAGACCTGCGATTTTCACCATTGGAAAGAACGATGTCGAGGGCATCGATCAACATAAAATTTTATTAGGTTCGGAGAGTTCTTTCATGGATAATTTTGGATTGACATGTTGTTCGGTGCATTTTTTCATCATTTTTCAGAGGAATTTCAACCTAAATTATGCCAAAATGTAGCCCGAGACACCATATATTCCTATAAAAATTATCATATTCTTTAGAGGCCTCATCGAAGGAAAATGTTGAAAAGATAATAATAAATTGTAAAAATTTTAGCTTGAACACGGAGCGTTTGGGGATACATTTTGATATAATTTGGGCTAAAATTCCTCTGAAAACTGATGAAAAAAGGCAGCAAACAAAATGCCAATCCAAAATTATTCTTGAAAGAACTCTCCGAACCAAATAAATTTTATGTTGATCGATGCCCCCGACATCGCTCTTTCCAATGGTAAAAGCTACAGGTCTCTAGTTGCTATTGTTCTCGAGATATTCATTCTAGAGTTTTCTCCATCTATTCCTGACGCCGACGTTAATTTTTCCAACATTTTTTTGCTAAAATAGTTTTTGATCTACTGAGATTATAGACGATATCGAATTATCTATATATTAATAATCTTTTAGGTTTTTCAAAAAATGAATTTCAAATAAAATAACATTATCCTGAAGATTTTGTTATTGAATTTTTGATGTGCATCTGTTGTATGATTAATATTGCTGTATATTCTGTAACAAAAACAACAAGTCGAAACAGAAAAAGTTACTACTTGAATACCATATGCTCTACGGTCTGAACAGTTCAACAAAATAAGAAATTTTCGAGATTAGTTTGTTAAGAAAACCTATGGAAATTATTCATCATCATATATACAATCTATTCATACAATTCTATTATCTTACCTGTTGATTGTTTAATATGTATTTCATAATTTACTTTTTCATCTTTTTTACTAATATGACTTTCATCATCAATGACTTCTATATTAGATTTAATGGTTTCCACATTAGTAGAAATTTCACAAAGTAAAGACAATTGCTTAGTAGAATCATTTAGATTCTTTGTCACAGATGCTATAAGATAAAGAAAAAACAAAAAAGAAGAGTTTGATTTTATCTATTTATTAAATAAACTTACTATATGTATCTGAAATTGATCTAACTGTATTTCTATTAAGAATATTTTCTTGTTTAGAATCAATACAAGTGTCTAAGGATAATAAAGCTTGATCAATATTATGATCATCAATTAGCATATCTACATCAATATTTATATTTTGTTTTTAATAGATTAGAGACGATACGACTCACTTCTATTTTTTTTATGAAATGTTCGATCTAATTCATGAATTTCATTTATTTTTTTCTTTGAAAAAGAAAAAAAAAATTATTTTTACTTTAGAATCATATAATTTTTATTCTTACTCGACATTTATATTGATGTTGTTTAGATGTTTCTAGTTGATTATCGTGTGAAATGAATGTCCCCATCTTCCCTTCTTTAGTTTAAATGACTTGCATCATCATTAGTAGATGATAGACGAAAAGAAAAGAACGAATATGCACTTGACGCTTTCTTTTTCAACTTATTCAGCTTAAATAAACTTTTAACTTGCTTGTTATTTATTGTCTTGGAAAAATGACGTCTTTTTTCATACATGATTCATATCACTATACAAATAGAACTACTCTTAATATATGTTTTAAGTATAAAATCATCGATTTAAAATATTTCGAAATGTCATTGTCAATCCGATTGAATTCTTTTAGTTTATACACTTAAGAAACTGAAACTAGTAGTTTTTTTTGTTCGTGCATATATGATAGAATTAATTTAAAATCAGATAACTTTGTTACGTAATTCCATAAGTTAGTTGAAATAGATAAAAATTAGAAAAACTAACAATATCATCGAAGTTAATTTTTGTTTTAAAATATACTATTTCTTACATATCATGGTTTATAAAATCAATAACAAATATTCTTGTAAACTTTCTCTTTTTACATATTTTAATTTAGTTTTTTTAGTAACATTGATATTATTATATATATATATATGATCGTTAGAAATAAACTCAATTCAGTGTGAACTCTACTCTCGAGTCCATCTTTGCCCATGAGTCATCATCTTTTGTTATAATATCAAAAGAACTTTCAATAGATGTCATTTATAATAATCAAATTGTTTAATAAAATGAGCAAATTATTAGTGTATAGATAAACTACTCATTATATTATATAAATAGAAAATTTTGTATTTTACTTCCATTAATTGAATTGAACAAATTTCCCAACTGTATAACTACTATGACAACGTATTTATTCTAGAAGTTCTCATTTTGTTATTCAACATGTATATTTAAACGAAAAAGTTGAACAATACAAAGAGAGAAAAGGACGAATCTATTTGAAATTTTTTTCAAATTAATATATAGATCTTACGACAAAAACAAAATCAATATAATTCATTTATTTATGGATTGAATTGATTATTTTTAAAACATATTATCTGATTGCTTGAATCATTGATAAATTATTATCTAGTTATTTATTCACAACGATCTTTTTCTTTGAATATTTCAGTAAAAAAGAATAATAGTAAACTGAAAGATAATAAATTGTGTAATAATTTTGAATCTCAGTATTATATAGTTGTCTTCTTATGTTTCAAACAAATAGAAGAAAATATTCTAGATTCAATTATAACTTCAAAATTTTTGTATAGATGACGTTGATGAGAATATCCATCTATTAACTGGTTGGTATAGTTTGCCATACTTAACTACCACATAGATGTCGATCAATAACAATTGAATAATTCTAGAATATAATATGACGCATTTATCATTCATTGGTTCTTATTAATATCAAATCTAATTCATTAGTTTTCTAACTAATAATATTAATCATAGATTTGAAATTTAGTTGCAAAATATTATCAATTTCGTCATGGTAAAATTCTTTATTTTGAATAATTTATTATTTTTAAAAGAAAAATTTTAATTTTATTATTATTATTTTTTTTCTTATAGACATCTTCATATTATCCTATAACAACAGATCATTTTTTTGATAATACACAATTACAATCTATTACTCCTATGTCTCATTATTCTTCATATCAAATCACAAATACAACACAGAATAATTATCATAATGATAATAATGATGATGAAGATGATGATTTAGAAGAATTACGAACAGCTGCACTTAAAACATTATATTCTAACAAACGCAAAGTTTGTTTGTTTTTTTTTTATTTTATTTAAAACAAAAACATAAGTCTATTTTTTTTTATAAAGAATACTTATGATCATTCACCAATTCATCGAAATTCTCGTTCATCATCAAGATCTTATTCATCATCATCATCATCATCACGATCTAGTTATAGTCGTTCATCTAGAAGTAGATCTTATTCATCATCATCATTATCATCAATTAGTTCAAATTCATTAGATAGAAATGATAAAGATTATCGTTTTGAAATAAAAACTAAACAAACAATTGCTGATATTGATGAACGTTTTCCACAAGATATTCCAAATAATAATAATAATGATGATGATACACTTATTGTTAATTGTCCTATACAAGATGATGATTTACTTTTACGAGATGAACAACAAACAATAATAATAAATCATTCAAAAGAAGAACAAATATCGAAAAAAATTTCTAATCATAATAAATTATCTTCAAAAGATATAAAACGACAAAAAATTGAAGATATTAAAAAATCTTCATCAATACAAGAACAACCTGTTTCAATAACAGTTAAATTAAATTCTGATAATTTTGATCTTCGACAATTAATTAAAAAACGTCGTACAAATGAATCATTACCAAATAATAATAATAATAATCAACGTATAGTTCATATTTTACCAAAAGATAATCAAACCAATGTACATAAAACAATTCATGATCGTGTTTCATCAAGACAAACAGATAAAAATCAAACATTAAAAAAATATCATAAACATTAATTTATTTCTAATTAATTAGTTGTTTTTCTTTTTAATATTTCGTGAAATATAATTCATAATTATCTTTTTTTTTTGTTTGTTCTTTATCTAAATTTCTTGTAGATTTATTTATAATGGTATTTAAAGGAACAGCATCATTAATTGTTCGACTTAGTCGTGCAATTATTTCTCGTCCATTTAAACCTATTATATCTACTAATCGTATTAATCAAAAATTTCAATTGAATAAAAATCATCAAATTTATTCAAAATATCCTCAAAGATTTTATTTATTTCCTTCAATTTATCGTTCAGTTTTTACTTCATTAAATGGACAAAATCTTACAAATTTAATGCCATTTCGAAATACATTGAACGAAATTAAACGACGATTATTTTTTGCTGGTTTGTATTTTTCAATTGTTTTTGTTTCGAACAATATAACAAATTAAGTAGTATTTTATTGAGTAATATTATAAATCGAGGGACAAAAAAAAAGACATGTTATCATAATTATTCGTCAGAGAAAAATAACAGATGACATACAAAACAAGTGTTTTAAATTTTACTCAAGTCTATTGAATATATAAGTTTAAGTTAAAATATGTATTCTATTAATAAAAGCTTCATTCTTATTTTTTCTATATCATGCTTATCTAGAAGAATATAGATGTGTTTTTTTCTTGAATACGATGTCTAATTTCTAATTTATTTAAATTTCATAAATCAAAAGAAATATCATATAAAATAATTCAACACAATCAATTCTACTTTTTTTTAAATAACTTCTAGACTACGATTAAAGTGCGAAAAAACAATTTCCGGTTTGAATTATCTTAACTTCCTTCCTCTTAGACATAGAATATACAAGTAGTCATGTTGCTTTCAGTTACATATATAAAATAATGAATATAAAATAAAAAGAAAAGCACATATTAAGAAAACATTTCTTGAAAGATTAGTCTATTCTTAGAAAGAATTTTGCATGATAAGAAAATAATATCGGTTTTTTGAAATTTGATCTTATTGTTTGTTTTTTTTCTTTTAGCACCAAGTAGTTCTCGTTTTATTTTGGGTCTACTTGGCTATTCATTTGTTCAACAATCATCTATTGATAATTTTTATCTCAATGAAACATTAAATAAAATTGGTAATCTTCTTTCGAAAACAACTATCGTGGATCAATTTAATGATGACAATGAAAAATATAGTCGAGCATCACTCGACGATTATGAATTAGGTCGTTTAATTGGTTGTGGTTGTAATGCAGCTGTATATGAAGCACGACTTCGATCATCATCTAATACTATACCATCGAATTCTAATATAGAATTTCAAAAACATATAAATGAAAATGATTTTGAAATACTTTCACGTCAATCATCAAATATTTCATCCGTCTCCTCTTCATCATCATCATATGAAGATCTAAATGAAAATTGTAATGATATTAATGAAGATCGACTCAATGAACTGACGTTAAAAGAAGGTGATTGTTTTTTTCAATACTAATTAGTTTAGATATAGTGTTCTGATTGAAGAAGAAAAAAAATTGAATTTCCTCTTTTTTTTTTTGAGAAAATCGGAAGTAATTTTATCGGAATATTTTCTTATTATTAACAAATAATCTAATAGAGATATTTTAATCATCAAAAAAAAAAAAAAGGAAAAAGACTTTATTTTTGTTTGATGTTCTTAAAACTATACGACTTTTTTCGTCTACATTCATCGTACTATCGCAAGTATTAAACAGGAAATACTTATCATTGCTTCAGAGACATGTTGTTAATTTCTTACTTGAAGAATAAAACAAGCTGATCGCATGAGTATCAAAAGTAAATAGAATTCAGAAAGGATAAAGGAAATCAGAAGTGTTTTTAAACATTAAATCAAACCCTTTTGGAAGTTATGCCAGTCTAGAAGTCCTTTTTTTTATATGTTCACAATAATAGCTCAAGAGTAATGAATCACTTCAAGCCGTATTCTTAGTAGGAGCTGTAATTTTCATTGAAAATCTCATCGATCGTATTTGTCCAAAATTGCACTTATCTCAAATAATACACTATTTCTGTCAGTGTATTCAGAATAATTGAATTAGCCAGTTCTAAAGTATAGGATTAAAAATCTAAACTTCGTACAAAACGTGATAGATGTTGATCAATAATATCTTGTTATAAAATATGAACTATTTCTTCATTGAATTTTTAATATGTTTTACATTTTTAATTCTGCAACGATTGTACTAACAGTTTATATTATTTTATTCTAGTTCGATATCGAGTATCAACAAGTATGAATCAATCATCGAAAAATAATTCGGATATTTTACCAGGTAAAAATTCTATTCATTATTTATTTCAACAAAAAATGGATTGTTTTTCTTTTTTCTAGCCGGTCAATTTAATTTAGCTATAAAAATGTTATTTAATTATGGTATTCAATCAAATGCAGAAGCTATTGAAAAAGCTATGGAAAAAGAATTATTACCATTACGTAAATGTTTCTATCATCCAAATGTTGTTCGTATGTATTCATGTTTTGTTGATTCATTTCCATTATTAAATGAAGCACATGAATATTATCCAATGGCTATTCCAACACGTTTATCACCGGATAGTTATGGACGTAATAAAACATTATTTATTGTTATGCGACGATATGATTTAACATTAAATCAATATATAGAATTATATAAACCAAATATTCATGAACGTTTATTACTTTTTGCACAATTACTCGAAGCTTTATTATATTTAAATAATCATTCGATTGTTCATCGAGATTTAAAAAGTGATAATTTACTTATTTGTAATGAAACAGGTGAATTAGTATTAGCTGATTTTGGTTGTGCACTTTATCATCCACCAGATTTAAAAGTTTCATATCAAACTGATGAAATTTCTAAAGGTGGAAATCTTGCATTAATGGCACCTGAAGTAAATTTTTTATTTTTCTATGATAAAAATGAAAATAAAATTTATTCCTTTTTGTTGTTTTTTTTCTTTTCTTTTAGATTTTGACATGTCAACCAGGTCCAAAATGTTATCTTGATTATAGTAAATCTGATCTTTGGGCAAGTGGTACTTTATGTTATGAATTTTTTTCTCAAAAAAATCCATTTTTTCATGGTTTACTTCGACAAGATAATTATGATGATGAAAAATTACCATCATTTTCATCAAAAACACCTTCAATTATTGAACAACTTGTACATTCAATGCTTCGAAAAAATCCGGAACAGGTATTTTATTAAACTTGATCTAAAAGCAGTTAGCAAAATTAAAAATATGAAACACAAGAAAACTGTTGGTACTTTTAAAAGAAGAGATTAATCAATATGTTTAGGTTTATCTATTGTTACATAGCAGAGATGTCCATCGCGGCTCAAAATCTGCCGCTGCCGCGCCGCGATGAATTTCCAAAAAGTGTACCGCTGCCGCGATGGTACTCGAAAAAAGATTCGAATTTCATTGCTGTGAATGTATTGAAATACAATTCTTGTCACTAATCGATGAGATTCATTGAGTCTTAGAGTGTTACGTTTATGGACACTCAATTTTTGGCAAATTCATGAAGTTTTGGCAATGTCTTCTAAAAGAACTCTGACCCGCCGCTGTCGCAATGATATTTTCAAATTTCTTCCGCACCGCTACCCGCCACCGCGGCAGTGGCAGCGCCGCGATGGACATCTCTGCTACATAGTAGTAATGCATGTCAATAATGAAATATATGAATCACAATATATTGCGATAATGAGTGTAAAAGAAAAATGTATGAATACTCACTACAACCTATTATGATTATCATCTTTCATCATTGACATGCATAGAGGGTAGATAGAAATTTTCTTTCTTTTACAATGTTATATTAGTCTTACACGGATTACAACTAAAATCCTTTTTTTTTTTAATTTTTATAGCGTCCATCAATATTACTTGCAAGTAATTGTATTCATTTATGTCTTTGGTTTAAATCAATAAAATCAAAAAATGAACTTTATCAAGCATACATGTGGACAGCATTGAAAACATTATTTAATAAACATAGATTAACACGTGTTGAACTTAATTTAAAAAAACTTTTTTTTGAAAGACAAACGTGTCAATCACTTTATCAAGCACAAACATTTCTCACTCAACTTTAAGTTTGTTTTGTTTTTCTCTTCAACCTTGTACATACAAAATAAATTTTTTTCAAAAAAAAAAAAACAAATTAATCAAGACTTGTTCTTATTTTTTTTTCATTTGTATTGAATTCAAAAAGAAAAAAAAAAGATAATAAAAATTTATTTTATTAATCATGTTCTTAGAAATATATTTAAATTTAGAGACCTTGATAATGTAATTCTCGAGCCATTTGAATCGCACTACAACATGGACAAAATGTTGAAATACAACAATCATTACATAGATCACCCTAAATAAATAAATAAACAATCAAATTATTTATTTTTTTTTCTTGTAAATTTTTTCAAATAAAAATTGAAAATGATTATTTTTAATCATACTAGATATGTATTAATATAGAATGCCTCTCATTTTTTGGTCATTCATTTAATAAAAGATAAGAATTTCAATGAAAAAAATCTTCTCGTTTAAATTAAATAATAAGTGATACAATCAATAACATCTTTAAATTAATTATTGACATAATTACCTCGATACGAAATGCTGTACGTATTTTTGATCTTAATGCAAATCGTGAACCAGGACACAAACATGCACATGCATTTTCTCCGGCTCGTTTGTATAATTTATATTCAAAACAACATGGACAAAAGAAAGCAAAACAACCTTTTAAAAAGAAAACTACAAATGACTAAAACAAAAAAAAACTGTATAATATATTACATAGTTTCATATTTGTACAACATGAACAAAGTCTAGTTGACCATGGATGTTCAAAGTCCCATACATCTTGACCAGGTTGTGTTACAACAACATTTCTAAAAGAATATTTATGTTTTTTTTAATATTTTAAAGTATCATTTTACAGCTATGATAATTTACACATGAGGTATTTGTTGTTGTCGAATTTTAATTTGTTGATCATTCGTTGGATAAGTATAATTGGTAGGGACTACACGTGCTGATGGTTCAAGACGTACAGTTTCTACTAAAATAAAAACCAAAATCAAATCCAATGAAAAATTTTTCTTAGATGGGATAACTTACCACGTGAGCGATAAGTTGTTGCCATTGATTAATGTTTATTATATGATTTTATAATTGTTCACGCTATAGTTGTCAATGTTATAGATTCTAAAAGAATCTCTTTTTTCCTTGCAAGTATGCAATGATGGCCAATGTATGTTTCAATTTCTTCTTCTTCTTCTTCTTTGAGCGTTATTGTCGTTTAAATTTTCACTCCCACCTCAATCGTTCGATTACTGCCTACATACTTGCCAACGACATAAACACGTATATACAGGTGAAATTATGTTTCAAGTTATACCTGCTGAGAGATTTTCATTTACTCATCGTTTCTTTTTTTCTTTATGTATTAACTAAGGAAATAATTTTTGTTATGTTTCTATCAATATATTTTCCTCAATGCGTCCTTAAGAAAACTAAGTTATATCAACCTATTAAACTGGAAAGGTAAAAGTATATTTCAGTATATCTACATGAATGTAATTCTAAACAAAATCCATTATTTGATCCTTCTCTTGCCGTCTATATTTTGTGTTCAATCAACTTTTTTGACATCCAGATCCAAATGTACGTTCAATACTCTCAATGTCGAATCGATTTCAGTGAACGAAAGGTAGTCCTTCATTCCATCACGTTACATACTGTTTTATAATAATATGGATATAAATATAATATTTATATATAAAAGATATACTTTATTATCTAAACAGATGTTAAATTTATATAAAGTTGTATTCAAATTTTTATTGAAAAAAGTTCATCTTTTAACGAAAAAATTTTTACTCAATAAAATGAATTAATTGTTTACTATTTTTTACAAGAACTTTTTTCTATTTGCTTTATAATGAATAAATAGAGAGGGAGTACTAGATTTATTTTACTTATCTAATATAATAATAGTTGTCAATATTTGAATAGAATAAGAATAGACATGCATATGAGCTATTGATGAAATTTATTCTGTTTGATTCAATGATTTAAAAGTACGTGTTTTATCAATAATGTATTGATAAAACCTATCATTACATTTGAATTCGACAAACATTCTATTGTTTCTCTCTGAGAAAGTAGGATTGACGGCAAATAATGTCGATTATCGATATTATGAAGATCCTTTTGGTCAATAGATAAACTACGTCAAGTTGTCCATTAAATTTGTACTGATACAAATCGTAAACTATTGAGATTCTTGGTTTTTGTATTCTTATTCGTTTGTAGGATTTAATAATGTGATTATTATTGAGATGATTGCATTGTTCTGATCGATCAAGTTAAAGCTTTAGACATGTGAGATAAACGTTTCTCTACAAATTTTTTTATCAATACATGCTGATACTAATGGTGCTAAATTAATTAGCACAGTTGTGCATAACTCACCTACATAAATCTAATAAAAAAAAATATGATCTCATTAACCATTTAGTATCGAATCAAAATACATTCTAGTAAAATTTTTGTTTTTAACCTAATTAAAAGTATATAGAACCTTTCCCTCAGAATAGTCTAATATTTTTTCGAAGTTTCATATTTTTATGCACCAATCCCAAATAACAATATAATTGTAACGGTACAAAACAATATAATAGCAACATAAGTACCAATTATTGATCCCAAAGCACTATAGAAAATTGTAAATAAACAAAATTGTGGCATAGTCTGATCTTTCCATTGAATTTTTTTATAATTTGAATATACACGAACTTGTAGAAGAACAAAAAATATTGTCGCACAAGTACCAACTATACATGTTATACAACCTAAATAATAAATCTATTTTGTAAAAAAAAAACAAGAAATCAAAATAAAATAATTTACCAAGAAGAATTTGTGAAATTCTATTACTTCCTTTCTTTTCTCCTGTTTTAAATCTTGCTGGTGTAATTGAATAAACAAAAGAAAAAGCAGCAACAAAAAAAATTGCTTGAAATACACCACCTATAGACATTAATAACATAATATCATGTTGAAGTGGACATAAGTCAATCCTGCTAATATAATAGAAACCAAACGATAATTGAATAAATGGTACAATTAATGTAATCAAAATCAGACAAATAATTAGAATTTTTCGAAGTGACATTTTTTATTCTATTTTCTTATTGTCACTTCGATTGACAAAACTAAACCTGTTATTGATAAAATCTGTTACCATTTCTTTTCTTTTTCCTTCTATTATTATCGTTCTTAATATTTACGAGTTTATTCATACGTTATTCTTTCAAAAAAAAGTAGACATTATGACATAGAAAAAATAGAAAAAGAAAAAGAAGAATCAGATATTCAATTACAAATAAAGATAATCAAACTCCATAGAAAGATCTTCCATCACCTCAATATATAGTGAAAGACATAAATTACAAAAATATAATTTTTAATCATCTCGAGTAAACTTATCAACGTCAACAGCATGTTCTTGAATAGTTTCTTCATCGTTATTGGCCGATGCTATTAATGCTTCTTTTGCATCAAATATTCCAATATCATTTTGATTAAACTTTCCTATATTCATTTGTTCAGGATATAACCATGGCTTATATGATGGTTGATTTTTAGCTTTCCATTTATCATATTTAGCAGATGCTTTAGCTAATTTTTTTATTACCTATACAAAAAAAAGTTTTATTATTATTATTATTACTACGAAAAGAAAAACAAAATAAATTGTTACTTGAGGCACCATTGTCTTAGATGCTTTATTTACTAACCACGCTGGTAAATTACCTAAAGGAAAAAAAATATATTTCTATACAAGTTAATTTTCATTCAAAAAACAGTTCATACCTCCAGGATCACTTTGTGTCATATAATAAAATCTGCATGATGATGGTCCCGTTGGTATAATTAGATAACCAGTTACATAAGAAATTGCACGTACAAAATTTTTACGGGGTGGCTCACGCTAAAAATAAAAGCAAAATATTTTTTTTTTTTTTTGTTGTATGAAAGAAACAAAAATAGATGAAAAATATTTACTAAATGATTGACAGAATGATTGATAATAATCTTGTCTCTATTGCGTCCATAATCTAACCAAGCACGTTGTGTAACTAAATCACGATATTTAAATGGTGGTGGACTTTTCACTAAAACAAAACAAAAAAAAAACAACTAATCATAAGAATAATTTATTCATCTCAACTTGAATAATATCCAATATCACTATTATGTGAGACTGCGCATATTTCATATCCTTCTATCATAGCTGTGTCCCATGTTGAACGATATTCACCATCATGTATCACATCATAAAGTAATTCAGCTGAAATATCATGAAAGTCTGATTGAATCTAAATAAATCTAATACATACATATTTTTTTATTGATCTATTAAATTATGATCTTACACGAACGACATCAAATGTTGATTGAGAATTTTTCTTAGTTGCTACACGACATGATGATTTCTCATAACATATTGTCCATCCTTGATCATTGATACATTCGTTTTTAAAATCAAGAAAATCTTTCTCTTCCAGTAAAGCGACTTCACCCACTTTCATGATTATGTTTTTTGCTTATGTATATCTAAACATGAGAGTGCAAAAATAACGATTCACGCTTGACGTACCTTTCTCATTAATCATTGGTCCTACTATCATACAAAATATCTAAATGACCAACAGAACAGATCAATGATTTATGGCTATACCAAGCTGTTATATTAAATAAAAAATCGATACATCGATGTTTTTCTTTTCAAATAATCATAAGCAAAATTGATAAAATCAATACGTCATATCTTTTTTGTTTGTTTATCTATTTTTATTATAATTTTAAACATATCTAAACGTTAATTAGAGACATCTTTTGATTATGAAGGTAAGTCATGTGCTAGTTTTGTTTCTACTATTTTTTTTAATGTTCTTCACAGTTGAACATAATTATCATATTTATCATTAATGTTCCGTAATTTTGAGTAGCTAATAAATAATATACGGTTTATTATTTATTAAATACATACGTATAGTTTTGTATTGTGAAAAAATCCTTATTACTACATGATGAATGAGAATAAACAAAATGCTGTCAACTGATGATATTATAAGTTGTATTGAATGTAGATGAATTACTTGCTTTTAATTTTGAATGAAAACAAAGTTTGCTATGTTGTATTTAGTGTGGGAATCGATTCCTTCCAGAGTTCGTAATTATTGTGCTGTAGCACAGATTCATCATAGAAAATGAAAAGCAGGCACTTGTTGGGATCTGTCAAAATTGCTCACTTCATGGCAATGTTGATTATTCAGAAGGTTTCATTTTCATTTTTTGCAATTTATACATATTCAATTACAATGACTTGTCAGTTGGATATGGTATCACTTTTCTTCTTTATAGCAATTAATAAATTAAACCTTTTTTTAGTCGGGTGTCAATCAATACGTATTGATATGATTTGATGCTAACAAGCTGTTAACAAAAGAACAAAGATAAGATGTTAAAGTATGTATTGTTGCTGTTATTTAATTATGGTTTTTTTTTCTTTTGAATATATATGGCTACTTCCATTGAATTTTTCCATGTGTTTCATAAATCTTTATCATAAGACAATACACATAACATGATTTTTTTTCTTGCTCTGCGCATGAGCGATAGAAAATATGTTATTCACATTATAGAGATTGTTATTATTCATTGTATCAGAAATAAGCGACCGCTATTTACAATAAGAAGGTGTTCATATAGGGAGATTTTACTGCAAAAGAGCATCGTTTTTTATCAATGGATAACATGGTTGCAAATAGTCTCACTATCAAATAAAAAGTACCTGAACTTTAATTTTTGGTCTCACGATTTGATCCAAAATACAGTATGTTGAGCTATAATGGTTAGAATTAATGAGAACGTGATTAGGCTTCATATGGAGAAGCTAGAGAGCCAATTGATTTTGTCTTCAGAGGAGAATATTCCAATATGGAAAACAAATTTCATGAGCATAGATCCCTCGCTTGACAGTTCAATATTGCTTCTTTCATTATTGAAAATTTTATATCAAACAATTTTAGTTTGCCTGATTTATGAAATATTCTTTGGGTAATCTTTACAAGAGGGTTGGTGGGAATCGTCGAAAAGTGATCCATATCTCCGGCTAGTTTTACTTAAAAATTTCACGATCACAGTCATCAATAAGAAAGGTATCCATGTTGACATCGTCTTAGGCAATGGAGGCTTTCCTGTGCATCAGGACTACAATGGATTGAGCAATAAATCAGAAGTGTTACAAAAGCGTTTTTCGAGGCTTATGGAAAGAGCCGGTGTTTTCATCGTAAATTGTTCGTATCAAAGCTCTTCAACTTTGGATTAATGCTTGAGATCAGGATTTATCGAGTTTTCTGCATCATCCCTAGAATATAACAGGAAGATTGTGTGAAGTTTGTTGCACTGTTGAAACTGATCATTCGAGCTTCTTTTTTTAAGTTACACTTAAACTTGATCTACGATTTAATTATAAAATAAGAAATTTATATTATACAAATACAAATCATGTCAAGTGAAAAATCTCTAATAGATTCATACTCTTTTTCTCAGGATAAGCGAATATCAATGAAAGGACCTGTCTTATTTATTTCTGAACTTCGGTCAGGAATGTTTTCTATCTTTTGCTGAGGTTTCATTATTTGTTTGCCTTCTTGCTATTCGCTGATTATTTGCCCGTTTTTACACTTCACATTGTTATTATTATGCTAACCATTGATTTCACTGGCAAATAAGCCTGTTGTATATACATATCCATGATATCCACAGTAGGTATCAAAGCTTTTTATATCGATCATATGACAACTATGGTAAATCAACATATCACTACAAAAGACGAAAAAGCGAACATTCTGTAATTCACCGCATTTCGATAGTATGTCGAAGCTATCTTTTAAAACTTCTTAGCTATTTCAAGTGTACTATCGAAGTATTCCATGCGCATATTAGTTCGAGTTCATTTGGTATAAGTCTGTTACGTTAAAAAATCCTAGTACTTACTCGCACTTCGAGGTTTGAGAGCCAGTTTAAAGTACGATCAAGTATTCGGACTTCATCGTCAGACGCACCTATATGAAATGTACTCAAACTAATATATGCATATGACATACTGTGATAATCTACTTGAAGCAACTGAGAAGTTTCCGAGAGTAGCTTTCGCATACTTTTGGAGTACAATTAAATATGAAGTTTTTATCTTTCCCCTTTGATTACTACGCATCATCTGTGGCATCTTGAGTATTAATTTTTATCTACGTAGATATCAAAAAGAGCATTATTTAGAACATTCACAAGCGTATTTTAGTGATTCTAATTTCAATGAAAGTTTTGGAATATTCTAGAACAGTTTGAGTCTTGTCGTTAGTGCCGCTCAGCACGTTCTTTCGTTGCTAAGAAACTTTGAGATAAGAGTCTGCCGTCTGTAAGTGTGGGTATGAATGTTGATGCCTTGTTCAAAACCTGCACCCATCTTTACATCTGACGATGGCAAGCAGGAAAAAAGTTCAAGTACTAAAAATATTAAATTTTCTATTTATTTTGCGTGGGCTGCCTTTATAATGAACATTTTTTTCGTGGGCTGTTTGAATAAGGATGTAAGAGTGGGTTTAGGTAGGATGAATAACTAAATCGGTCCCCACATTCCATACTTACGCACACATCTGGACAACTACACTCACATCCGCATCCTGTCCCTTTACGATGATCTATATAAGAATTGATTCATTCTACATGAATGTAAGCTATTTAAAATGTTTCGAAGCTGACTTATCAATTTCGGTGTTATTATTTCGGTTGAAATATAATTTTTTAATCAATTCACACCACGCGAAGTTACCTATTTATTTACGAGCCACTTCATGAACATTCAAAAAAGACTTAAATATGACAATAGCTTGCAAGATATTACGAATTGTATCAGAGATAGAACCGGTAACCGGTCGGTCCTGTACGGTCCGATCCAGTACCGCTCTGAATTTAGGATCGACTGGTCTACCGGTCTAAACCGATGTGATCGGTCGAAAGCGGCTTATACCTGTCAAAATTTTCACTTTCCTGCTCTATGATGGTATTCACATGAAAAAACAATTGGCACTAAGGCTAGTCCTGCTGATCACACAGGAATTGATTTAACAAACAGTTTCTAGAATGTCCCTCAATAAGACTATTGTTATCAACGGTGGAACGTTTTGCCAGTATGCGTGAAACTACGAAGGTAGCCCACAAGAGAGTTCACTATAAAATAAGGCTTCATTTTAAGCCTCAGACTATTGTCTGTAGATCGATATTTTGTCAGTAGATCAGTTTCATCTCTGAATTATATATTAATTAGTATTTGTGTTCCAATCATAAGAAAAGTATGTTGCTCTTCAAAACCATTTTTGGATTGAGAAAGCCTATAGAATACGAAGCCGTCGACTAAGTTTTCTTGTTTTTTGAGAGAAACTTTGTAAGCTAAAAGTCATAGTAGCCAATAGGACTTCTCAAAATTGTTTTTTAATAATCCGTACATTATTTATTCAGATGGAATAGGCTTTCGCAGACATGTATTAACTCTGTTTTGATTGTTATGATATCTTTTAAATGAACGTGTAGAAAAGTTGCTTGTACGTTAAACTCCTTTTTTTCTAGCTGTCTAAGTATGAGAAGAGTTACAATTTTCTTCCGCAGCCTGATCAGAAACCTTCAATCACGTGTTGTGGTGAAAGCAGTGTAGTTATGAAGAAAGTTTACCGTGTTCGTGTGGCTTTTGTAATCTTTATGTACGCCCTACACACGTTCATTGTCCTAGAAGTTCAGACTAGTTCGTTTTACACGTATCCTCCAGGGTCATAGAGGGTGTTTTTAGTCGTCCGCGTGAGCCTATAAAGCCAAAAAGTTCAGAAGAGTGTGCAGCAGTCGGAACGAGTTTATTCAAGAGACAAGCAAGAAACACATTTACAGCTTCGTTTTTACATCCTGCAAGCGCTCTCTATACAAGCGAATGTCCGAACTATTTGCGGGTAACGAAACTTGTGCAATTTTAATCGCATGTTCGTAACATTGACTTGCTTTCGTGTATTCTCCCATAGATTCATACACAAGACCGATATCATGTTTTGAAACAGCCAAATGAGGATGATTTGGAGAAAGAGCGTTTTCTCTTAGTTTGAGTGATTTTTCGTGAAATTCAAGAGCCTTTGAGAAGTCACCCATATTGTTATACACCTGACCAATATTACCATAGGAAGCAGCCAAATCTGTATGATTGGGAGATAGAGCCTTTTCGCTTATATTAATTGCTTTTCTGTAAAACTCAATTGCCTTCGAGTAGTCGCCCATGTTTTTGTATACTGTACCAATGTTGTTATAGCAAGTAGCCAAATTGGGATGATTCGAAGGCAGAACTATTTCGTAGATTGTATGTGCTTTGTGGTAACAGTCAAGTGCTTTCGAATAGTCATTCATGTTGCTATATGCTATACCGATGTCGCTGTATGAGGTAGCCAAATCGGAATGATTCGGAGGCAGAGCTTTTTCGTAGATTTTA